TTGCCCCACACCAAATATTCCACTTTTTAAAATTTTACATGATCATATATCACACTAACAAACTCTGTTTAAATTGCAGCACAGTATTATTACACATGCCAGAAGTTTACACATTATAAAGTCCATCTGCATTTAGGCAAAAGATTACACAATTAAATTACTGTTTTTACTTGATTATTGTAACCTATTTAACCCATAAAACACAGTCACAACACTTAGCACTATATCCTGTGAAACTCTTTGAGATGTCCTGTCATGAAAGGAGCTATATCAAATGTAAAGATTATTTATTTACGTTTAAAACGAGTAGATGATTTTTCTTCCTCACAATTATTGATTCTCAAATTAAACATTGGTATAATAATCACATTCCGTAATAAGACAATTGTTGACTTTCCACTCTTGCACAAATCAATCACTGGAAAGAGAAACCAGAGAGTGATCAAACTTATAGACTCCCTTCCTGCAAACATGCTGACCAATAAAGAAGTGGATGCCTGAACAATTGCACAAGTCTAGGTAATTCTCTATTTGATCAGTAGTGGGTTTTAAATTTTTTTCTTGATTTATATAATTCAAAGGAATTTATTTTGTTGGCCAACCATAAAGGTTGGCCAGCACTGATCTAAACTGTTCAGTTATCAAAACTTTAGGCACGTTTGCTTACTCCACACACACACACCTCTGTTTACGTTGTAGTAAGTAGGAAACCTCTTGTTAGTCGATTGGCAGATCGCTTTCTGAAGATATTAATCCCGTAAAAAATAAAAGAATAATTATTAGGTCACTCAATCTATAACTACTTGTGGGACACTGCTGTGTGCAATTGGCTGCTGTGTTTCATCCACAAAATACACAGTCAATTCACTTTTCAGTGTATACTGTGAAACCCTTTGAACCCTTATTATTATTATTAATTTTATTATTATTATACAAGCCCTTTGCGATGTCTAAACAACGTGATAAGGGGCTATATCAAACGCAAGTATTATTATTATCCGGAACACAATGCATGTTAAGTTAGAGAGGGCACTGGCCAGGATGTACACCTTACTACACACAAACTGACTGAAGTTTTACAGATGGAGGATGGTGGGTTCTTTCATTCTTGCTCGATCGATAGCACTTCCAGTTCTGTAATCTATTGCTGCAACTCATCACTCTTGGTGGCAGTCGTATAATGCAAACAGGATGACAAAGAGAGACAATGTTCCAGCTCCCAGAGCTGTCAATGGATAATGGGCACCAATCAATCAACTATTTGTTACATAGTTAAAAGTTAATTAACACATTGATTTTTCACAAAGACATGCATTCTGCATTCAAGAGAAACAAAATAGCGAGAGCTTTATCTTGTAAACAACCATAGTGACCTGGAGATGTAAACTGCTATTGATGACAGCTTTGCAATCATAGACTACCTTTTGCCAATAGTTGAACTGAGATGGAATGGAATTGTTTCTGAAGGTTGCTTCTGAAATTTGTTTTCCCAGTTATTAATACTTGAATTCAAGATCCTCACCCTCACCTACAAGGCCATTCACGGCCTTGCTCCCTCCTACCTCTCTGACCTACTATCCCCCTACTTACCTGCCCGTACCCTCCGTTCCTCTGGCTCCGGTCTGCTCCACATCCCCCGCCCCAACCGCCCTACCATCGGTGGTCGGGCCTTCAGCCTCTCAGCCCTGAGGCTCTGGAACTCTATCCCCCAGTGCCTTCGCCGCCTCCTCCCTTTCCTCCTTCAAGGCCGGTCTCAAGACCTTTCTCTTTGACCGAGCCTTCAGCTCCCCTCTCGACTCTCTACCCCCTCCTCGCTCCCTCTCTCCCCTCACCCTGACCATTTCCCCTTTGCTCGGGTCCTGACCCAACTGTACAGCGCCTTGGGACGTCCTCCCGACGTGAAAGGCGCTCAATAAATGGAACCTTGTTGTTGTTGTTGTATATAAATGTTGCAATTCATCCTTCCATCTCATAAAACAAAGAGTGGAAAAAAGAGGCTTTTGTTTAAATCACCCAGACAAAGTGAGACATTTATCATGGCCTTTGCCTGAAGTTTCAATATCCTGTAGATTTGTGGAACATCTCTTGAACACTCGGCCAACCATTCGAATCTGAGTTCATGAACATGGAAATGTACATCTAGTGCCTGGAGTCCACCCTGATTGGCTTGTAGAAAGGTAAGCAGATGTTGCTTAAGATACGCACCTGCAACAAATGAAACCGTCGCTCAATGGGAAGGGATGTGTGTCTGAAATATCAGGACATTATGGCAATGCTCTCACGCATTTCATGCTAAGCTGTGCTGCCCACCAGGAAGCTCACAGGGCTTGTCGGATATCAAATTACTAACCAGTGACTATGCTTTTTGGGTGGGGAGGGGGGGGAGATAAAAAGCGTCTCCTTGGAGCTGAATTGCCTCCAAGGTGACATGTTTGGCAATTGAGCCCACTCTCTTTGGTGGTCTCAGTAGTACAGTTCTTGAGCCAGGTGGATCCACAGTATTCCAGAGCACTACTCATGAGAGCACAGACAGCCTAGCTCATCAGCTGGACTTGGAAGGGCAGACCAGTCACTAGAATTGGAACAAGGTGAGTCAACCATTCCAAGGACAAATGTCTAAGAATAATTAAGAAGAAAAACAGTTGAGGTCATTGAAAGGTAAAATTAGATTAGAAATCTGATCAGAATTTCACTCTAATCATCTCAGCCCATAACGGGAGAACCCAAATACCTGGTAACACAAAATTCATAAACCTTGCATTTGATATAGCACCTTATCATGTTGTTGAGACGTTTCAAAGCGCTTCACAGAATATACTACAAAATTAATTGACTGTATATTTTGTGGGCAAAACATGACAGCCAATTATGCACAGCAGTGTCCCACAAACAGTCATGGATTGAGTGACCAAATTATTGTTATTATTTTTTTAAAGGATTACCCCAGAAAGCAAACTGCAAATAATTAACAACTAGGTTCCTACTTACTGCTAGGTAAACAGAGGCATGCGGATTAAGGAAACTTGCCTAAGGTTTTTCCTTGCCTGGCAACCAAACCCAGGTTCTCTTGCTTGCGAGACAAGTGCTCTAACCAATACGCTACATGATGCTATTAATAGAGAGTTTTGCTCAGAAAAATAGATGTGAAACATTGAAATATTTGAAACTAAGGGAGATTCAAGATGGAATCTTGAAATTTGAGATTCAAAAACAGATTTGAATGAAAGACATTCAAAAGGGAAGGCAGATTCAAGAAATTCAATGGGAAGGGAAATGTAGACAGACAAAACCTCCTCTATAGTAATGCTGCTATGAGAGGAAGAAAAATGAAGATTCATGAAGATCTTTATTGAATAGAACAAAGACTACAGACTCTGTTAATCAAAGTTAACTTGACCGTTAGCTTATGAAGAACAATAATAATATCCTTGTATTTGATATAGTGCTTTATCACATTTTCGAGACAACTCAAAGTGCTTTACAGAATATCCTGTAAAGTAAATAGACTGTATATTTTGGAGATGAAATGTGGCAGCCTTTTGAGCACAAAGTATCCCAAAAACAATCGTGGATTGAGTGACCATTTTTTTTAAGGAATTATTACCCCCGAAAAAGTGATCTGCCAATCGACTAACAACTGGGTTCCTTCTTACTACTAGATAAACAGAGTGTGGAGTAAGGAAACTTGCCTAACATTTTGCCCTGCCAAGGATCGGACCAGGATCTCTCGCTTGTGAGGTGAATGCTCTAACAACTGAGCTACAGGGCTCCATGACAGGCATGAAGACCCAAGAGATGAATGCACTCCGAATGAAAGTGAGGGATGACATGAGAAACCAGGCCAGTCTAAGACACATGAAAAACAAACTAATAAAAATGAAAGATTGTATTGTTTCCAAGACCGTAATTCTGATGTAAAGAATGAACTCTTTAACTGAAATTGTACCTATTTGAAGCAAGTTTAATTTTATAGCCTCTGATATGTTTAACATTTATAATAATAAAATCACTTTACTTATTTTCAGTCTGGAGTGATACATGTGAAAACCCTCACCATGCTTATGTTAAAACGTCTCCATGTGCCTCACAAGTAATTACTATCAAATGTAGTAACTGCTTCTGTTGGCGTGCAACGAGCATGCAACAAGGTTCCACAAACAAACAAGGGAAATGAGCAATTTTATTTACAGTATTGCTGACTGGCAGAGTAAACAAAATTATCTTGTCTTTTTGAATAGAATCATGGGATTGTTGATACATCAAGAAGACATTGTCATACATCAAGAGGACGTGCCTGGCAAAGAATTATCGGAATCCAATCTATCCTCTGTGGTGGTCTCAGTAGTCTGCACATTCCATTCTAAAACTGGAAATTTCACAGTGATTCTTCCCAACCAGATCTTGTCAACCTTAAATGCAAAATCTCTAATGGGTAGGATAGCCCCCGCTTGAAAAAAGGCGGGAAGCTTGCTAGATAGTATCTGCAATGGCAAACCTTGCGGTTTTGACATGGTTGAATTCCAGAACATCCCAAAGCAGACTCTAGGTTGGTTTGAGCCAAAGCTTGAGGATCCCAGAGTGTGCACTGGGGTACCGCTGGAGTCTTAACAATATCATCACCAAAAAATGAAATTTATATAGCACTTTTCACATCGTGAGTGCCAATGCCCTGGACAGTTGAGAATTTTCACACAAGCTGGGAGCCGGGATGGGGGGGGTTGGTGGTTAAGATGAATGAAGGTTCGGTCAAAGAGGAAGGTCTTTTGATGGACCTCAAAAGAGGCACGTGAAGCGATGATGCAAAGTGACTCCAGGATGTGTGGAAGGGTAGTTAAGGCCAGGTTAAAAAAGCAGCTTGGTGCTGAGATGGGGAGGGATGGTAGGGGGTGGATTAACTGGAAGGATAAGATGAAATGGCTTGAACGGCCATTTCATCCAAACCAATCTTGTGATCTTGTGATCTAAAGGAAACCACAACATTTAAATTAAAACTGCATTACCTCTGAACCTGCGGGGATTGCGACTTCCAATCTAGGTGCAGGTCTCTTTGCTTCAGACTTGACAAGAGTGAGGTAATAGCCACTTCCAAAGAATTTCTTCAAAAACATGGATGATCCACAGCAGCACAGCTTTCCGTGCGAAATGATAGCAATGCGATCTCCCAGAATATCAGCTTCATCCATGTGGTGGGTAGACAGTATAATTGTCCGACCTACAGCAGATACACAAATAAAACGGGGTAAAGCAAAAGTAATTACTGCTGACATTAATATCAATGTTTAGAAATCGTTGAATGAACACATTTGAATTTCAAAGCTACTCTCTTAACACCACAGTCATAGCAAAATCTGATTCCATAATCTGTGTTCAGTAATGTTAAAGCCATGAGAGTGATTGTGAGCAGCTGTTTCAAGGATGTACTTAATGGAACAGTTGCACAGCTAAATTTTCTATTACCACCTTCCTCAAATCTATACTGTGTAATTATTTGAAAAAATAAAGAAAATGTTAACATTGCAAATAGCCAAGAAAGAAAGTTGTAAATAGGAACCATTCTATGGAAACGGATATTTCTCATCGCAAATATCTGTTTCCAAACATTCGAAGATACTGAAAGTCTTCTATTATATACAGAAGAGTGATTTTGTTAGTAAACAATGAGAGGAATTTATTGCTAACTGGCCAAAAGCCATTGGCCTTGAATTTGATATATAATATATAATAATCCTTGCCTTTAATATAGCGCCTTATCAAGTCTTGGAGACTTTTCAAAGCACTTCACAGAATATACTGTAAAGTGAATTGACTATATTTTGTGGATGAAAATTATTACCTTCAAATTTTAGAAATCTCTTCATAGTATTTCCTGTAAAGTACAGTGATTGTATATTTGGAGTCCTGTAGCTCAGTGGTTAGAGCACTTGCTTTGCAAGTGAGAGACCTGAGTTCAATTCCAGGCAGAGGGCGAAACCTTGGGCAAGTTTCCTTACTCCACACAGAGCCTAATAATAATCCCTCCAAAACCAAAAACAATAATAAATTGGTCATTTTCAATCTACGACTGTTTGTGGGACATTGCTGTGCGCATTTGGCTGCCGCGTTCGCCCACAAATATACAGTCAATTCACTTTACAGTGTGTTCTGTGAAGCGCTTTGGGACGTCCTCCCGATGTGAAAAGCGCTATATCAAATGCAAGGATTATTATTATTATTAGTATTATTATTTTGTTGGCAATTTATGCACAGTAAGGAGGTGAATGCCCAACTAACAACAACTTACCATTCATATGGAAGGACATCTCAAAGCAAAGAAACGTCCTTGAATTCTTGCTGGGAGAGGGGGAGTTAGAGGAGAAAGGTGCAAAAGCACAGTTGAAGAGAATGGTTTCAAGGAAGTTTTTGAAGATGGAAGGGAAATCAACAAGGCAGAGGGACTCCAGGATTGAGTTCCATAGAGTTGGAAGCTCTGTCACTAATGGTAGGACAGAGGGAATGGTCAGGGCAGATGGATTGTGGGTGTCACAGAGATGGGGTGGGGTGAGGCCATGGACTAAATTTGAATTTGAGGGAGGGAATTTAGAATTTGATCTCCTGGATGATAGGGAGCTAGTGGAGCCAAACAAAGATAATAATAATCCTTGTATTTGATATAATGCCGTATCACATCCTCGAAACTTCTCAAAGCGCCTCGCAGAATATACTGTAAAGTGAATTGACTGTATATTTTGTTAGCGAAACATGGCAGCCAATTGCACACAGCAGTGTCCCACAAATAGTTGTGGATTGAAGTGACCAATTTATTCTTTTCTTTAAGGAATTATTACAGCCGGAAAAGCGATCCGACAACCGACTAACAACCGGGTTCTTACTTACTGCTAGGTAAACAGAGGCATAATAATAATAATAATCCTTGCATTTGATATAGCGCTTTTCACGTCGGGAGGATGTCCCAAAGCGCTTCACAGAACACACTGTAAAGTGAATTGACTGTATATTTGTGGGCGAACGCGGCAGCCAATTGCGCACAGCAATGTCCCACAAACAGTCATAGATTGAAAATGACCAATTTATTATTGTTTTTGTTTTTTTGGAGGGATTATTATTAGGCTCTGTGTGGAGTAAGGAAACTTGCCCAAGGTTTCACCCTCTGCCTGGAATTGAACTCAGGTCTCTCACTTGCAAGGCGAGTGCTCTAACCACTGAGCTACGGGACTCCACAAATGTGAAGTAAGGAAACTTGTCCAACATTTCGCCCTGCCGGGAATCAAACCCAGATCTCTCGCTTGTGAAGAGAGTGCTCTAACCACTGAGCTACAGGACTCTAGGAGGATTACAAAACTGTGGGAGAGTTCTGGACATTCCAAATGCCCTACTTGCCAGTCTCCCCTGCTACACTGTTCATAAAATCCAATTAATTCTAAATTCCACGTTATTCCTTATCCCTACTAAATTCCGCATCTCTATCACCCCGGTCCTTACCCGGCTCCACTAGCTCCCTATTGCAAAACAGATTGATTTCAAGATCCTTAAGCTGATGTACAAATCACTTCATTTCGTGGCACTTCCCCTACCTGCTTACACTCCACTCGTCTAAAGGACCCTTGAAAAAAGGGTGTAACTAGTCCACCTATAAGTGAGAATAGTTAGAAGAACAGGAAGGCTCCAGAGAGAGAGAGAGAGAGAGAGAACGAGAGATGAGCGTGGAGACAGAGAAGTTTAACTCAGAACGAGATGAAGCAAGAAAATAAATTGATGGAATTAAACGTGAGAAAAATGAAGAAGTGGACAAACATAAAGCACAAGTAGCAGCCTTAGTGGAGGAAAAAACTGAAAAAGTGCAGGAGAACAAGGGTTCACTGCAAGGTTTAAAAGACAAAACAAGACAAATTAATTCAGGTAAAAGAAGGGGGAAAGGTAAAGGGATAAATTCAAATCAATGACAAAACCACCAATACCGAAGGATTGTAAAGGTGAAACTAAGAAAGGTATTAAAGAGTCAAATTTTGAAGAAAGATTGGGACAAATGGTTACTTCTGAATTTGAAAGATTACAGAAGGAGTTACAAGCAATGAGACAACTGATTGAGCAATGTATAGATCCTTGTGTCTCACCGATATGCCTCCAGACCAAACAGATGACGTTTTGGCTAATTTGGAAGCCCTCAAACAGTTCAGCCTCCTTGATACTTGTGAGGAGTCAGGAAAGGTCAAAATGCTGTTTGCTCAAATAAAGAGATTAACAAAAGTTGAGAGAGAAAGAGAGTAGGATGGGTTCATTGAAAAAAACAAGAGAAGAGAACTTTATACAGCACAGAAACTTTAAAAAATCACAAACTGTAGCCACTGAATGTGAGCAGTTTAAATTCACTGACTGCTCGGACTTCGATTTTTGTAAACAAACGGACACTCACTGCTTCATGCTGACCAGCACCAGCTGCTCAGAGAGAGTTAACCCTTTGGTTTCCACATAAAGCAAAACTGTATTTACAGTTAATGATCATGTCCAAGCTACAATTGAATCCCTGGTAAAGCTAGTAGTACAAGTATTTTGAGGCAGTAACACAAATAGATCAAATTTCTATTCCCACTTCACATGATGGTCACCAACTTTACTGCAATCATATTAACTAACTGAAGTGTTTAAAGAAACGGGAGATTTCACTTTGTGATTTAGTTCCTACAGATACTGACAATGGCTCATTACACCCTATGGAGGTCACTTTCCTTCCGGCGACTTCTTCTGGGATGACTTATACTTTGTTTGCCCTCCCACCCACAAAGCCGGTCTTCACATTCAATTTCAGCTCGAAGGTCTGGAGGGGAGATGAGTGGACAAGTACAACCCAATTAATCGTCTACTTCACAACAGCGGCCAATACCTGTGCAGAGGACAGGGTCTACATTGGCAACCGTGCGGGTTTTGTATGGGTCGGGTTTGGTACAGTGCGCGATGACGGGGTCAATAGGTAAACACTGATAGTTCAAGAAGGAGAAGTAATAGTATTAAGAATGTCATTGTTCTGATTTATTTTATGTAACATTTACTTTGTCTATTCCAGTATTTCAGTGATGCTCAAAGCCAGCAGGCAAGGATAGAGAGAACATCCACTGAAATAATATTTCACATTTCTGTGACCATACTATTTGTTCATCATGATATTATTGATAATGATGTGCTGTAATTACAGATGCTAATAGTAGTTGAAAGGATTGATGTGGTGGCTGAGATAAAAGGCAATGGTGAAGATTCTGATGGTGATAGTGGGCTGTGTTGTCAGGTCGAGGTGGGGACTGGACCTTTCGCAAACCCAGAATTCTGGTTTGACTTAAGTTGTCCAAAAAGGATATCGTGAAGGCTGATGACTTGTTTGGCTGAAATTGAACTGATTCTATGGACTCTCAAGGACATTGGTAACAGCAGTACATAAAATTGCCAAGAACAAAAGGAGTTTACCGACCTTGAAGGATACGTCTTTAATCCTACAAAGAATGGTAAAAACAAGCTGTTGAAGGTCTCACTGCCGACTTGGCAGACGTGACTAAAAAGATCTAAGTTTGAGAATGAAGAAGACAAGTCTAACCAATCTTAAGAAGAGATATTCTATAATCAACATTGATCGAACCACGTTAACAAGTTGATTCCTAATCACAGCCACTGTATCAATCTAATCAATTGGAAACTGATTGCATCCAGAGGGTATAAAAAGGGGATAGCTGCGAGAGCCTTACTCGAGCAGTGAACCCAGAGTGAGCTATGTCCGGAGTGAGGCGAGAGTGAGAAGGAATTGGGTGAGAGTGGGAAGTAGGTGCAGGTTATATATCTAAAGGGAAGTAAGATAAGATAAAGTAAGATAATAAGATAGATAATGGCCTGGCAGGTGCTGTGCGAGGAATGTGGCATGTGAGAGTTGATGGAGGGCCCTGAGCCCAGGTGACTTCATCTGCAGCAAATGTCTGCGACTGAGCAAGCTCCAACTTAGAATAGCTGAGCTGGAGTCTCAGGTGGAGAGACTGCGCAGCATTAGAGATGGGGAGAGCTTCCTGGACAGTTTCATCCTGGAGCCAGACACTCCCACGAGTCCCAGGGAACATTCCGTTGCCAGCCACGGACAGGACTGGGTGAGACAGGCGCGTAAGGGGACCCGAAAGAGAGGGGCAGAGGAACCCCAGGCTTTTACTTGTCCAACAGATATGAAATACTTGCAACCTGTGT